CGTCACTGAAGTGTATTTAAAAAATTTGTTATAACCAATTTGTAATCGTTCAGTACGCGTTAACGAAACGGCTGAGTCACAGGGTGTAAACTGAATAACAAGTTCAGCTTCCAACATCAAGGCAGACCAGGTTTTGCTTTTTTGCGCCCACACCGTTGGCTTCTTCTATCTTGTTGCAAAAGCTCCAGACCGACGAAGTGAGCAAGGACTGTGGGGACGCAGCACAATTTTGAATGCCGATCTAAGCTCTACGTAGTGACGTGGGGTAAGTAAGTGTCTAACCATTATGGAAACTTGCGTCCTTCACAAGCACGAAGTTTCATGTAATCAGTCTGTTGGGTCATGTTCATGTCCAAGCTATGGTGGTACCTGTCTCTTTATTCGGAAGGCATAGATATATGGCTTTTGCATACATAACTGTTTGCGCGTTCGCATACGATCGGTATAGGCAAATGAGTTGACCCCAATAGACAGAGCATCCTCCGTTGGAGACAGCAGTGGAATATTAGTTCGGGGACAGACACCAGCATGAACTGTATTGAGCAAGCTTGTGTTGCTGGCGTGTCAATTTTAGCTATCGCATGGGAAAACAGATACATGAATGGCTTTAACATGGAGGAGCTATAAACACCGGAAGATCAGCAAAAATATAATTTTGCAATGCATACGTCAACTTTATGAGTGTAAATCGGAATAAGATACAACAATACGCCAAAGGTGACATAGCAGTGGTAACTCTGTTGATAGAGATTTTGAGCTCATGCAGAAGTTAGCGCATAGTACAAAGAAGTGCGCGGTTATAAGATACTTAAGTGTGGATTAGGATTAGGATTCGAAGCAAACCTGTCTCCCAACCGGCTAAACACATTGAGCGGGAACAGCTAGATATAGGGAATTTGCGAAAGCTAGCAACCGCATAGAAACATAACTACATTGGGACAGAAGAAAAACAAACAAGATATTTTCACCTCTTCGTCGACTAAAATTTTATGTATCTACTGGTGATCCAAACGCTATTATAGGCATTAAAATACCCAGACCTAAACGGTGCTCCAGTGTGCTGCAGCTGCTGTATCTTGCTTTATTCCTGTACCTGAACTTTAGACTGCAAGCAGTTCAGGGGCTCAAGCAAAAGACTAGAACGATTGGCGTTGCATCTGTGAAGTACTCGCACTCCAAAATGTGCTCGGGAATTCTATATCAAGGTTACCATTATCGCCAAGGGACCAATAGTGATAAAAGTAACACGATGAATCAAACATATAGCCAGGAGTGTGCAAAAAGCTGCCATCCGAAATACAATTAAAAACGATGGACAATCGACCACACATCGACGAGATAACACCGACCAAGCAGGTGTCATGTGGAACCTCGTTAACATGCCCCTCAGAATCGAGAACGTCTAAAAACACTCCGTTAGCTGAGGAAGGTCTAGGCTTTCGGTTTACTACTGACGTTGAGAACTCTACATACCAAACCAGAATTGCGTTGGGGTCTGCGATTACCGTTTAACAAATAAATGACCAACAGCCGACCCTGCAAGGATCTTTACCAACAGTCATCCGAAAGCCACATGTACAAATACACTGCTAGTCTATGAGACTCTCACTTGCTTATATACCAACTCACAGTGCATTCACAATAGGCTAGCTGAGTTTCATACTCGTCAGATTTCTACACCTGTGACCTCACTATCGTAACCGAAGCATGGCTGAATGTCGAGACCATTGGCGCAGAGACAGTCCTTCCCGTCAAAGTTCTATTACGAAGGGATCCACCTGGGAGAAGTGCCGAAGGGCTTATTTATTTCACTGATGATCTGCATACGCAAACTGTCGATTCTACTTGGTACCTAGAAGCGGAATTACAATAACTAACCAGCGAAATACCACTGTGCAACGATGTAGCCACCCCCATATGATTCAGAACTGGCGGCGAACCACCTTTCTTAGACCTTATCTCAACAACGATGAACTAATGTTAGACACGGTTAGACTAAATTCATCGTCTGGTCGTAGCTATCATGCCAAACCAACTATATCTGATAACACAACGAGGAAGACCAAGTCCTCACCTATTACTTTATACTGTCTGGCCCTGTAAAAGCAACCAGATGATCCTTCTCAGAGGAGTAGCCGTCCGACTTCACCTGGGGGAAATTTGTCGCTTAGTTCATCGGACTAGTGAAAAGGCATCAAAAAGCAGCCTTTTGCCTAAATCAAACAAGCTCCTTCCTAAGAGGACAAACCCGGAATTGTATGACAGTAAGGGGTCAGATGTACCGTACTTACAAGGCCAGTCCGAGTGCGAGGGCTTGGGATGCCTACACAACCAAACGGAAACACTGTCAATTTGGTCCGCGAAGAGAAACGCAATACCAAAAGGACTTAGCGATAAAACTTCATACTAAACCCAAAATGGTATACAGGCACGTAATACATCTCCGCAGAGTGCAGCGCGGTTGGTCAGTTCTACTTTCAGTTGATAGTCCATCGCTAACAACACAAGTGGCGGTTAATGAACCTCAACAACAGCCCACCCGCACATTGGGCCTGATACGTCACCTCACCCGTTTTGACATAGCTCACACCGACCCTAGAAGTAAGTTGTACATTCTTCACTACAGCAACTGTGATGAAAGGATTATTGCCTTTGCGTGTGCACAGCTTTCCTAACGTGGACAACGTAAAACCGGAGGCATTAAAAATAACAGTCATCAACATTGTCGAAATATTGTCTCGGGCCGTTCAAATATGTCCTGATGAAATACATGCTTCGACCATAGAGAAGTATGGAATAGTTACCCCTAGTTGCAAGAGTCGCAATCGTGTGGAGCCATCGAATTACCGTTTAATCACTCTACATTCGGTGCTGTCCACGTTCATGGAAGTTGGTATCTCAGATGCGCCCATGGAATATCTTGAGGACGACAACATGATGATACCACAGCAGCATGGACTCCAACGAAATCGATCCTGCACCAAAAACTTGTTCTTACACCGTGCAAGCTGAGAGAAGTCAGCGCATACCAGAGTGGAAGTCGACAGAGTACATCTGGACTTCTGCAATGCGTTCGATTATCTTGACTCTGGCATTCTCCTTTACAAACCTTAAAGCCGTGGAATCGGTGACTATGTTTGGTTGGATAAGCAAGTTCCCCAGTTAATGTCAGCTGAAGGTGATAGTCCGCTGCACCATCTCCCACTCAATTGAGGTCCAGTGTGGTTTACCCAAAGGATCGTTACTGAGACTAGGCTTATTCTTAATGTCCATCAACAATCTTGCTAGTGAGCTCCATTCAGACTTCCTACTATTGGTAAACGATGTTAAGATTTGACGTAACACCCATATAGTTGACAACCACACTGCACTGCAAAGTGATCACGACAGGGACTGTAAATTGTTATCCGGAACCCGGCTCCGGTTTAGTTTGGCATAATGCAAAGTTTCGTGCATACATCTGTACATTCATGAATCTCGGCTGAAAGAACAGCAGACACAACATGCCATACAGAAAAGCGACCTTGCGACAATCGCTCCGGATGATTATGACTGTTCTAAACCTAATGGAAAAGTATGAAGGAGAACCAGTCATCACCTTGGACTTTTTCGAAGGATGTTCGGGAAGTTCAAGCAATCCATCTTTCCACAATTCCAAACATTTGCGCAAGGTCCCATGTGTAATACGTGAACCAAACATCGCGACCTTGGCGCAAACGCGAAGTTGCTACGCTTGAAACACCACATAACCAAAATGACGAAAATCTTTGGAGGAATGCTTCACTTCCCATTCCAGCGCAGATTTCAGGCCCCTTGGCTGATACAGCGGCGAATATCGGCACACACGATGAGACCTCATCATACCAGCTGCAATCTGTTGCAACTCAACCACATTACCAAGCTGAACGGTGACCAAGGCAAATTCGCTATGCACCAGGGTCGACGCGATTGCTAACTAAACGCCGTTTACCTCGGGCATCCCAAACCTGGTACGCAATTACAAAATAACTTAAATTTTCCCTACGTTAGCGCTTTTACAGAATGACTGGACTAAACTTCACCGCATTTACATTACGTAGCATATTCCGTTACTATCGGAATACGAAACAACGCAAAACAACCAGGGTGTTCACCAGCCTTCTAGGTTAGGCAACGGTGAGGGATCAGTAAATTCTTTCGTGTGAATAACTAATTGAGCCGCTCTAAACCGGAATTTTCCCGTTTTTCTTGTCGTTTTAGACTTTATTTTGTTAATCTCATTTCCGTCACCCTACAGGTTTTTTTAGGAATTCGCCTTGGCCTGTTTCAAAAATCATTGTAGTTTGTTTATCATTGTAATGGCTAAAGCAAGTCTCTTTCAAAGTTTGTGTTATTGACGAATCGCCCCGTAGCGGTTGCTTGAGTCAGTCATTTTCAATATATAACATGCGAAGTGGCAGGTCAGGCCACCTACCACAGTTTACTTGAGTTAAAATAAAACTGCCTGTGATCCTTATATATTATTTCCGAATACATTCAGCATATATATGACCTAGAAGTGCATTAATTATTACGAATAACTGTTCATTCTCTTTGCACAATGTTTCTGTCCATATCAACACCTAGATGGGATTTGATGGAAGTTTGCCTCGATTGGACTATGGCAGTAAGGCACAGAGCAGTAACGCCACATAGTCCTGCAGCTCCTACTATTACAGAGGTTACTCAGTGACGGTAGAAACCACCTCAGAAGACAGGAGCTGCTGGTAGCCATAGATTTACTGTGTAAAGGAGAGTTGCGACTTAAAGCATGGAGTACTGGATATTGTTTTTCTTGATTCATCCATCGCTCACATAGACGGAGTCAAATTCAGTTGATTGGAAGATGTAATAACCTTACATATCAATATTCGCTTTTACCATACTGATAGTAAAGTTCACGTCACTAATGATATAGGTAGAAGCCATTGCTACCAACGATTCGATATGAGCCAGGGTAAGTGGCGACGGCGGGAACTTACTGTGACTTCTCAGCTGGTTTTTCCGCAGGTTGTGCTGAAGTGGACGGTGTTGGTTGAGTTGGTTGAGCTGGTTGAGCTGGTTGAGCCGGTTGTTCCTCGTTAAACAAATTGGTGAATTTCTGAGGAATAATGTCAAACATTCGGTAACAAATAGTAATTTTGAGTCACCAAACATTGTATACAGGAGACAAAGGTAGAATAACCAGCATGTGCCAAGGCCTTAAGGTATATTTGGCATTTAATACCGATGTGCAGTTAGTGGTGCAGAAGTAAGCCCATCTGCAACTTTGGCCGTAAGGAACCATAAAGTGAACTGGCTTGAACTAAGTGAAATTGTTAGGTGTTCTGGGAGATGTTTACCAATCGTTGCCTTAACTTCTAGATAGAATATTGATTGTTGCCACCTAGCTCACCATGCGAAGATTTACCTCATTTTGGCTAAAGTACGATAATCCAGGGTAGGAGTAAGTAGCAAGTATGACCTTCACAAGGTCTTACAAAAACAAAATATTCGGCATTTTACCTCTTCGTGCGTCATCCCAGTAGGTGAGTGGTACAATACTGGTTTACTCAAAAACTGGTTTTCACAGAACACAAAGCTTGCTGGTTTGATCGGCACGAAACCGGCACAATCAGATGAGTTTCTGTCCGACTCAAAAACACAGCAAACGCACCAAAGTCACTGGCAACTACCGCACAAGCGCTAAGAAAAAAACCCCACAGCTAGATTTCTATTCTTTTTCAAGCTTTGGCAGATTACTCAAGTTGGTGTTTACCTTAGGCAAAACCAAGACCCAAAATAGTATGAACGGCTTGTGTGTTTGTTATATAGTGCCACATATTTTGCAGCAGAAATGCGCGATTAGGATTTCAACTCACTAGATATATGCTCATTCTGCTTGCACATAGGGCTTTGGCGATGCATACACGGCATCAAACCATGGTCCAGCTCTGATGCCGACTGCAGCTTTTGCGCTAACCCATCCATTAAGCTCAACCGCCATTCCATTAATGCATCGTAGTTGGCTGCTGAAAACCGCAGATGATGCCTTCACGACCGCGATATCATACCAAAAATTGCCCAGAAAGTTGCACAAACAGGAACGCTACTTGCGTATGAATTAGAAGACGAAGATTATCGAATTTGAGTTAGACAAATGCGCTGTTGTAGGCAAGAGCTGACATAGCGCTCGTTTCTTCTGTACGCTAATGGAAAACTGCTTAATCACGGTTAAAGAAAAACGCTTCATTCAAAATTCCACTATGTTATTAGCTGCTTTTCTTCCAAAACAGACATTCGTCATCCCAATTCAAGTAAAAAACCAAACCATTACATTTATGCGCCCACGGTTGCATTTCAGGGTAAACTAAGCAAATGTGACGCAAAGCACTTTGAAAATTTAGCTGGTTTACTGCGTTACGTATGTTGGAAAATGTATTTTTCTTTTAAAACCGTCTCATGACATAAATACTGCTTCTGTTTTTATTTACTAAAATATAAATACCAAAGATCCCATCAAATGCTGAAGCTAGCCTCGGGTCTGCTGCTTTTCACGTTCATAGGTAACGGGGTGATTGATGCTTTGTTGAGTAACAGTAGTCCTTAAACAAGCAGATACCTACCGATGCCATTTTGTCAAAGATCACCTTTGTATATTGTTCAAATTAGCTCTGAAAATGAATGTTACACAGTTCATACTTGAAAGTACAGTGTCAAAATAATAACCGCGGCGGGCTAGGGCACTAAGTCGGCATTCTGCCTTTTGCTTGGGAAACGGATCAGTGTAAAACTGATTACTTATCTGAGATTATTGCTTTTATGACCGTCAGTTTGCAGCATTGATTCTGGGAATGTTTTTCCACGTGCATTGTCAGTCAGGACCGTAGGTTAATTTAAAGTACATTCCAATCGATCTGGTTATTAGAAGAGTCTATGTAGCAACTGATCCATCCAATAATTCCATATTCGTAGTGATAAACGTTACCCATAGTAGCTAGGTAGAGCATTCGCAAAACATCTCAAGTGCTCTGGGTTCGATGTGAATTTCTTTGGACGAATGCAAATGTGTAAACTACCGGTACTGGGGAGCAATACTGTGCGCGAAAAATTGACATTGTGGCTCCCAATCATCGTGAGGAACAACCAGCCAGCTTTAGGGTACCCTAGGCATTTCAGCTATGAACTAGGTTACTACCCCACACCATTCAGTAAGACAATTACTATGAAACGATGCAATTCTATACACCCATGTCCAGTAAGTGGGGTTTCACATAAAGCGATACACAGGCCGACGGTCAATAGTATGATACTTTGTCCTATAAGTTATGGAACTGTAAGTTACGTCACTACCCACTGAGAGGCATACAAGCGAACAACTATCAATTTAGTTAGCCTTAAAATCAAAGTAATTGCAACGCTTAGGTGGTCAATATTCAATACGTATTACCAAACCAAGCTTAACGTTATTCGCCCAGTCGGAGGGTTTGAACGAAGGCACTTGGGGTCATAAGATGAAGTCTTTCTTATTTCCCTGTCATGAAACTGCAAGAGTTATTATCAAAATCACTATCGAACATTACGAAGTTAGTCACCTTGTCAATGTGCACCGTCTAAAATTCCATTAAACAAGTGAATCAGCTACGCAGCTAGATAAAAGTTTATAAATCAAGCTTGGTGTGTTAGATTTACAACAAAAGCCATATCATTTTGTATGGAAAGTTGGTACATGCGCTCACCTGGACAAATTTTTTCTTCAAACGGTCCTTTCGGATGATATCTTCAAACATTTCTGGATTGAGCGGTGGTCGCTGCTGTGCATCGTCCGCGTTGAGTGACCGAAAAAATTCCTCGTCATTCCCTCCTTTGGTAGCTCCATTTGCGTAATTCATTTTATGAGTGTGAGCTCTAACTCACTCTGAAGTAACCGTAGCAGCACTGAATTGAGCTGGTTTTGTCTGAAAGTCCTCTGCAATAGGATCAATCTAGTTCACTTGTGCAACTTAAATATGCATCTAAGAGCTAAGATAAAATGTACCTCAGCATAAAAATTCTAGCTGAAGAGATCGCAGCTTGGTATGTGTCTTCTACATTTGAAATTCAAGGTCACGTGCGTAGCATGGGCCAACATTGTAGCCAGCCAAATTCCAGAAATTAGTAAAGGCGTCAGCTACTCGACTGCTCTCACCTTGATACTTGTCTCGCTAAAATGAAAATCCTCCCATGAATATATAACTGCTTAAATATGCCTATCGTGTGTCGTGTCCTTCAGCACAAGACATTTCATTTACTGAGATACTGGTTTAACACTTTTCCGTTATATTAAGTGGAAGCTATTACTTATACCAGGTACTGCTCCTTCACAGCCTTCTGGAAACCGATGAAGGTCCAATGGGATTACCGCAGCACACAGTGTAGAGAAATATCTAATATCGCACAACTTGAGTGAATAATGAACAATGAGTTAGCATGGGTAAAATTCCATTTGCTAGCCAAGCCGCTCAGGATAGTAGAGATAAAACAACCATATTAAAAGATATGTGAGTTGTCTGTTTGACCACCTATCGGGCAGATGCGCAGCTGAATAATCACAGTGTAAATAAGAATTTAATACAAACAGCAAGGCCGCAAGGGGCAGTTATAGCTTATGTAGTTCGTGAGAAAATTACGAACAAGAGTACTCTCTAATGTACCACCTCCTTAGGTTTAGGTAACATCTAATCCCGAGTTGAAGAGATACTTCATAAATTCCAAAGTATCACAGCTTAGGTAAAAGTGGGATGAAAGCTAAGGGCGACATCTACTTGTTTTTGAACGGCTCCAAGTCTGGGGAGGAGATAACTGAGCCCGGGACAGAGTTCCAGCGTTCCTGCATACACGTCAGTTGGAGATGCGTGTCAAATGCGCCCGTCTATCCCAAATTGCTATTCAAAGAGGATGACGTGATTACGCGAGTCGAGCGGCGTTTTGCCACAGCAATTCTTTGTACATTCAGTGCTGCAAAATTGTGCCCAATTCGTGCACTAGCAAGTCAGCAACGTCGTCGGCATAGCTTACGCAATCGGTCTCTGCCAAAACACATAGCATTTCCAACTTTGTCTGCAACTTGCAAGCAGTTACATCGGCAGAACAGACCGGTGTCTGCACAAGCGGCTCGTTGAGCACATCCTGAAATGGGCTGTTACAATTGTAGGAAAACACTCGCAGGGGTAAAAATCAAGATGCAAATAGCCAGCTTCGTCGATATCCAGACATCTACTTGCTACGGGGTATCGAATTGACTAACTTGGTGTTTACGATTATCTGCTGTAATGAAAACACCAAGATACTGAAGCGCGCGGAGTCTGTGGCAATTAATCACAGCCGTCCGGACCCATGTGTGCAAAAGTAGTTGATTGCCCACGTCAGAATTCCTTGGGGATAGTGATACTTGTCTCAAACCTTGTGATTCTGTTGGAGTTTATACCCTTATGTTTCTACCATTCCCATTCTGACACCATTTAAATCATTGCATTCCCCTTTCTTGATCGTTAAATGTCATTCGTTTACATGTAAGCGTAAAGCGCGAAATGATAGAATCGTGCAACACCCGTTTTCTCATTGTGTTAGTTAGAATGATACAGGGAGCCCAGTGTTTCACTTGCAGAAAGCTGCTCATCCAATGCAGGATTTGATCACCAATGCAATAGATCCAAAGTTTATATGAGAGAATTCGATGGTCTAAGCCAGGGGTGCCCAAACTTTTGCAAGGAGGGCCACATTTTGTGAGGTAAAAATATGTCGGACCATATTCAGACTGGCATTAGGACAATAACAAAAATTACACAGGTATGAAAAAGTCCAGGCCTATAGTTATTATTTCATAATGAGGCAGCGGGCCAGTTAAAGTATTAAGGCCCGCCGCATTTGGCCCGCTCGCCGGAATTCGGACACCATTTACCTAAGCGACCAAACGCTAATGAGAAGTCCAGGTAACAGACATCTGCTCCTGCTTCACCATCAACTGCTTTAGTGCAGATATAGCATGAAGTTAACAGGTTGCTAGTACATGAGTAGCTTTGTTGGAAGCCGTGTTGTTCCGGGGTTATTATGCTGTGGTTTTACAGGTACTACAAAACTTCAGCAGCTATGATAGACTTCATAACTTTGGAAGGCACAGAAATCCGTATTGTCGGACGGGATTTGGTTGGGTCAGTGCGGCTAACCCTCTTTGGAATAGCAGTGATGCACCTTGCTTCCATATTGCTGGAATTTGGTTCTCCTTTAGAGAACGCCAATAGAATATAGCCAGAGGTTCCGCCAAATCACTGTCTGCTGACTTTAGAGCCTTCGCTTGAACGTTATCAACTCCAGGGTAACTGTGGACATACAGGGACAACAGCCTAGTCAAAGCAGCTTCTAAAGGAAAACTGCTATTGGATAAAACTGATGGTGATAAAATAGAAACAGGTTTAATCGTTGTGCCGGTTACCATCTGAAACATATGTGAGTAATGGAACCGTATCAGATTGGCTGCTTCCGTTGCTGATCGCGTGCTCCAGTCATTGGTGACCAGTGCTGGAATTCCGCGCTAAACCTTACAGAGGTCACAGACATGCCTGTATAAGGTTTTGCGGTTAGGGCATTATCTCTACATTAACACCTGCTGATGTGTTACCTTTTTCTCGCGAATCGGTTACACGCAATTCACTCTGTGCCATGCATGTTGTCGTAGTTTCGGAATTCAGGGAGTCCTTGTGAGCTCTCCATGCGTGTCCCTAAAGGATTTGCATTTACGTTTTCTGCGCCTTTGAAATGACTGACGTATTATTTGACGATGGAGGGAGTTCTGTGCCAACAATTGCGCTACTAGAGTCTTAACTGTCCTTATGAACGTTTCCTAGGCGATTTCTGGGGGGACATTGAGTTAAGAAGGTCCAAGGTGTCAGCTTAAAAAGCGCGGATAACACGTTATAGTGCGTGACAGTATACACATCACCATCAAGCCTTTCAGGATATTCCGCATAGCATACATAGTCACACAGTAAAGTAGAGTGTTCAATGCGACCCGATAGTGCGCTTGCAATCATGAGTTCTTCGTTGGTAAGCACAAGATCAAGTATCGACCGCCTGTTAGCAGTTGGAAAGCTGGTGCGAGACGTCACGTGGAGAAATACGAGCTTTATCGAGATAATCATATTCATGAAATATTCACATACTGAGCAAGCACTAAGTTGAAACGCACTAAATTCTGCAACGAAAAGTAAACTGAGTTAGACTACATTTTCAGAAATGTCTCGCATTCACGCTTTCTCGCATACCCACAGCAGATTAAAAAATCATCAGGCAGCTATCTAGTTCCCCATTTTTGTTCAAGTTCCTCGTGGACTCCATCATGGAGTGTTTCCTTATGTAACCTCACGATACACCCGTTGCTGCGCTGCCTGGTGAGAAGCTAGTTGAGCTGGATTATATATATATATATATATATATATATATATATATATATATATATATATATATATATATATATATACTGAATACTGTATTATAGAGCAAGTAGAAATGGATTCTGTACAACACTTTCGAAATATGGTGAAAAATGTTATACAAGTTATAAACCGTGAATATCATTGTCGTTCTCATGTAATAGTTAAAATATTCGACTTACGATATTTCTGGACTCACAAATGTGACATGTCATCGTAAGTGTGCAATCCTTCTCTGAATCGAATAGTGGCAAAGTACAACTCTAACAAAGTTTTGAACTGTTGCACAGATGATGCTTCAATCACCTGTTCAGGTAAACTGTTCCAAATGTTTACCACTCTCTGTTTGAAGCACAGTGGGTGGGGAACACATTTCACATCCTGCAAGACAAGTTTGTATCTGTATCCGCGTGTGCCGCATGGCCCTCGTAAGTGCAGCATTGACCTTAACATGGGAAATCAATGAGAGGTAGTATACGGTAGGTCATAATGAGATCGACTAGCACCCGACGGTAGGACAAGGTGTATAGTCCTAGTTTCTCGCACCGGTCTTCATACCCAAAGCCACGTAAACTCGGGATCAGCCTGGTAGCGACGTGTTGGACCCGTTTGATCTTTTGTGCCTCGCCTCGAGTAATCGGAATGTAGGCAAGCGAACCGTAATCTAGCATTGGTTTAATGATAGAACAGGCGAATGGCAACCTCTTCAGACCATGTGTCGATGCTAAGTTTGCGCGCCCAAAGCAGATATATATATATATATATATATATATATGCATCGTGTGGTTACGCAAGGAAACACTCCATGATGGAGTCCACGATGAAGTTGAACAAAATGGGGAAATGGATAGCTGCCTGACGCTTTTCCCAATCTGCTTTGGGTGTGCGAGGAAGCTTGACTGCGAGGCATATTTGGTTGGCGGCTTAGCGGTCCAGATCTGCCTGTCATTATGGTCAGCCACAGGACGCCCGCGCCTACAGGGTGACGATGGTTGGCTTGCGCCGCACCACACACGGTCGCATCCACACACCACATACCCAGTGTAAACCCGAAGGAATAAGACCGGAAGACATGTGGATGAGAGCCAAGTTTCATCAACGGAGCCGACCCACACTCCTTCACAGGCTAACACAAGCACACTGTATTCGGGGAATCATGTGCACACAAGGCGGTGGCTGAACCGTAGTCCGCTCCACACTGAATGCATGGAACTACTCTAAGAGTCTGCCACGGCCACAAGGACAGTGCATGCTCTCCCCTGCAGCAACGAGAAACTGTCTCCTGGAGCCAGTAAAAGCCGAGGTAGTGAGTAATAGACAGGTGAGCACCTTGTCAAAATGCACATCAAGCGCAGCCACACGGGGGATAGTAAGCAACATCCAGGCACTTGAAACAACATTATCAAATAAAGTATATCTGTTAGAGCATACGGCTATGCAGAGATAACCCTTCACCAAATTAACATTCGGAGTAAGTAGGTTAGCAACGCATCCCCGATAA